GTCCGATTTGTGATTACTAAGAAAGTTGTGGACATCTCTTTTTGTCTTATGATTGAACTTTTCATTTCTTCGATTCTTTCCCACTTTCTCTCCTGAGCTGAACACTGAGGAAGTTGGTGCTGCGTCTTGTTTCATTCTACTCCATTGGCTGAGTAACTGAGTAACTCAGTGGCTGAGTAACTGGGTAACTGAGCACATCGGATGTGAGAGGGTAGTGCTGCTAGTGCTAGTGTAGTATGCATATTGATTGTGTTTTTGAAATCAAGGCATTGTTGAGTTTGTGCGTGAGTGTTTGAGTGTCTGTGCATTCAATTCCCATATTTTTTCTTTGTGCGTGCTTGTACAATCATGTACCTTGATACTTAAAAGTATTATTATTGTGAATCCTCCACATGTGTGTTTTCAGCTTCCATTGTCCATATTACACCTGGTGCATGTATATCTGGAGTAGCCAGGATCCTGATTTTTGACTGAGCCACATGTTTGAAAGGTAGTAGCGTCTGCCATGATCTGTGTGTGTGTTTGGGGGGGGGGGGTGTTTTTCTGTAAGGCGGCACGGCACGACCATGTGAGATCGGATTGTGTCCAACCACGTGTGTTGTAGCCCGGTGACGTGCCTTGTTCGCATGAGGATATAGAACTAACATAGACCGATCCTAGCAATGGTCCTGACCAGGCTCTCTTGCTTCGCATCAACAAGTCACTACAATCTACATGTGCATGTCATGTAGTGTACGGATGTCCAGGATATCACTGCTGCTCGGTTCTGAATAATTTTTCTTTCTTTGATCTCGTATTGAATAATAAGTGGATCTGCGGGGGGGGGGTCTATCCGGATGAAATCATGTTTAGCGTGATATATCCGGAGTGCGGCTTGTGTTATCTGTTTGGGGTACTGGTACTGCGACAGACAGTGGTAGCGCCAACTGAGCAGTCAGAGAAATTCATGCATGCACCGAGTGTTGTAGTACGCGCGCTACACAACACTCTACAGACCTGTACAGTCTACCAGTCTGTCCCTCCAGGAAATCGCGATTCCACGGATGCAGCAAATTTCGCGATTTTGGCCCAAACCCGCGATTTTCAGCAAAATCCGCGATTTCCCGCGTTTTTTGTTGTTTTCTGCACTACATCTCACATTGTTATGCACTTTTCACGCAGTTATTTCCATGATCCTGTAGGTTAGTTGCACAGTACGACTCCCGAGTAGATATACGATGCATCAAATTTCGTGATTTGGCCCAAATCCGCAATTTTCTGCAAATAATTCCGCGAATTCCTGGCAAGTTCGGCATCATTCCGCACATTTCGTCGCATTTTTTGTTACTTTCTGGCGCAATTATTTCTTGCGCAAGTTTTCGGGAGTTTTTTCCGCAAATTCCCGCAGGGACAGACCAGTGGTCTACAAACCGTGTCCAGGGCAGCAGCTAGGTACTACTACTAGGTGTCAATGAGGTTTGACACGTGAGTGATGACGCGTGTGTTATCAAAAGCCTTTTTGCAAATTTTGGCCATTTGCGCTAAAAAAAAACAACGAAAAAAAAAGCACAAGAAACAACAAGAGCACCTCGATCTCGGCTTCATAATGTAGATGTACCAGCTAGCGCTAGCGTGTTGTTATGCTAAGGACAGAAAGGACTTAGTGGCACTCGCTGGTTTATATCATCAGTTGAAGAATATTCCTTATCCTGGCGTCGATCGCTGAGAAGGTGCACTATTGGCTACTGACGTGGATAATAGTTTGTTACATTCACAACAGTGTTGCTGTGGTAATCTGCGCAGTGCTGAACATCTCTGCTGTTCACTGTGCAACTGTATCATACAGCTATTCTAACTTACTGGGGTAAGAGAATTATACAATCATGTACAAATAGAAATGCGGTGATGCATGCGTGAACCACTTTGCATGCAGTGAACTGCGCCGACACCCACGGTCAACTGGGTGCACACTACTCGGAGTGAGGGTACCGTGGATGCAGCTAACGAGGTTAGCCCCCTTGTCGGGCATTGGTTGTGAGACTTACCACCTCACCCTCGCCGTTAGGCGCTGCATCTGCCACCCTGGTATCACAGGCATGGTGGTGGCCTGGCACCTGCGAAACTTCCTAAGCTGGTTGTGTTTCTCAACGCAATTGTATAGCCGGTGGTAACGCAGACGTGCAAACTTTACTTTACTTTACAAATAGAAAATGAATGTTGAAGAAACGATAGTTGACTGCCGGGCTGAGACCGCTGAGTGCGTTCGAGTTTTCCGGATTTCAATGGGCGCTTTCGATTACACGTTTACACAATTCTGGAACTGGGTTTTGTACTTCTCGAATGACCAAAATGTGCGAATTCCGGCCATGTAAACGAACGACTGGAATTCACAACGCATTTTATTCATGGCATATCACAAACAAAATTGATCATAAAAAGAGATCACCTACACCCTCGCGCGCACTACCGGTCCATCCCGGTGATCGTGAAGGCTCCATGTCGGCAACAATATTGGGCTTCGATAAAGCTGAACGCGTGTGCGAAAGGACCACCCAAAATGATCTGCTCTAACAACACCTCCCAGCGGAAACTCAACTGGGGCAAATAGCTTTTCGGGAAGACATAAGACAGTAGCAACTACATGCAGTTGTAGACCTGCTTTCGCGCCACACCGACCAGGGAGGCTCTTCCTTGACCTGAGTCATGCATGACCAGACCGGTAACACACCGAGCGTGCAATTCTGGTGCCAGAATTAGAGAAATTCCACCTTCTCTTCAGAATTGACGGAATTGGATAAATTCAATTCTAACGACGGAATATGTGTATTGTTTGCAGGCAACCTGCCTACACTCAAGAGAGCACTGCATTTCACACAAATCCATTGGTATCGTTACAACGTTTCGGTCTTTATGACCATCATCAGGAATGAAGTGGACATGGAAAGAACAGCAGTATAAAAGAAGGAGGCAAGCAAGCAAAGCGCGGTACATAGCGACAGCGCGCGTAGAGAAGTGCAAAGCACGTCATGGCGGGTGTGCATTACTACATATACATGACAACACAAGCACAAACGGCGAGGAAAGTAGATACTGCGCTACAGCAGTGATAACAGCCCAGTTCCAGTCTCACACCACCAGTGAAGTGTCTAGAGCCCCGCGCCACTCGCAGTAAGGTGGTGTTATAGCAGATCCCAGCCACTGTTATTGTTAATTTCCGGGGATCGCTCCCTGATATTGATGGCCTCCCGGATCCTCCTCCTGGGGCGGTCACGCTCCGAACCGAGAACCCGGATACCTGAGAAAGCCGTTGCTCCCAATGGCAATGGGTCAGATGCATGCTTGGCCGCGAAATGCTCACCCAGCGCGGTGCCGCTCACTGTGTTGCGTGCGTCGTCGTTGTGTTCTTTTGTCCTGGTAGCGAGGCTGCGGTACGTCTCTCCGACATATTTATCACCACATTTGCACTCGAGGTGGTATACAACATTTCGCTCCGTGCATGCCCCTGAACCGGACATGCAGGCGACACAAGCAGCTTTGGGCCGCCCCGTTTACGGGGCCTGGACGGGTCTACATACCTGCGGCATGGTGGTTTGCGGAGGGCAGATGTGCAAATCATAGAACTTAGACGGCGGTTCCTGTAAATCAGCTGGGCATTTATCTTGTACTTCCGGAGTAATTTATGAATTTTGTTGTGGATATACTCGGTGTGAAACGGTAGGTTGAGGGTGACACGGTATTCATTCTGCACTCTGACACGTCGGGGGCGCATAGCTCGTTCACGTGCCGAAACTATAACTGACTCTGGGAAGTTGTTGAATTTTAGGATGTTGGTTACTTTTTCTTCACTTCTTTTTAGGGTGTCGGCATCGGAGGATAGGCGGACGGCACGCAGGAACTCAGAGGAAGCAATTGCTTTCTTTTGCTGGTTGGGAACTGACGAGTTGTAGTCTGATACCAGTCCGCTGTGACATGGCTTGCGGTATAGTTCATAGGATATAGATCCATCTGGTGAGACATGGACGGTCGTGTCCATGAAATTGATTGAGCCAGTCAACTCCGTGGATTGGTGAGTGAATTTAATATTAGGATCGGCATTATTGAAGTGATCTAGGAAACTCTGCAGAAGTTCCGGACCGAGGTTCCACACAATGAAAACATCATCGATGTAGCGCTTGTACAGAACTGGGCTGGCAGGTGCACTACTCAAGAGCGAACTCTCTAGGTCATGCATGTACAGGATGGCAAAGGGGGGGCGCGAGGTTATTGCCCATAGCCACACCATCCTTCTGGTGGTACACCTGCGCTCCAAACCGGAAGTAGTTGGAGCTCAGCACATGTGCGAGGAGCTCCTTGACCTGCCCAATTCGGAAACCGAACAGATCGATGCTGCCCTCGTGTTGTCGGAGGACTCTCATGACTGCTGCAATGCCATCGTTAATCGGGATGCTAGGGTAAAGGGCCACCACATCCATAGTCACAATGATGGTGCCGGGCAGGGCCTTGAGGTTGGGAAACGCGCTCCGCATACACTGGAGTGCTTCAACAGTGTTCTCCAGGTGTGCTGGCACGAACTGGAGACATTGATTGAGGATGCGTTCGAGGACTATGGAGATGTTTGTAACTGGGCTGCCGCAGGCCGCAACGACTGGTCTGAGAGGAATATTGGACTTGTGGTCACTCCGGAAGTACAAGACACTGTGCAGCCATAGACTTTCCAAAATTGGGTTGTGCACCGCTGTATGGAAATGTATTATTCACGATCCTGGATTTCATCCAGCATCCTGGATTTCATCATGTCTAGCACTGCGGCTGTAGATATTGCGTACAGTTGCATGTAGTATCTGATCTGTTGTATGTTGTGTGTGTGTGTGTGTGTGTGTGTGTGTATGTGGTGTGTGTGTTTGTGTGTGTGTGTGTGTGTGTGTGTGTGTGTATGTGGTGTGTGTGTGTGTGTGTGTGTGTGTGTGTGTGTGTGTGTGTGTGTGTGTATTTTGCACTGTGTGTTATTCTCTACAGACCGTCAGTACGTAATCTTCTGACAAATTCTCAGTAATCCACACCATACACTGTACGCTATACACCCGTGTACTACTGAATATACAACATCACCAGGAGAACATGTTTGCTTCAAAGTTACATGGCAATCTCAAGACTGTCAGTAAGTTTGTTCAGTGTGGTTATGCTGTGAGTGTACAGAGCCGGTTAGTCCAGTCAACCAGCGGATCAAGGTCATGTGTTACTAGTAAGGTGACTCAGACATCAGCACAGTCCAGGCAGTCAGTTAGGTGGAGATCAGATCAGTCTGGTCGTCAAGCCACTACGGTACGTGATGCCTATGATGCCATTGATTCAATCTTTGATAGCATTGTGAAGTCACGCACTTTTCAACCCAGCTATCTACTGTCACAATGTTTTCTCATTCAACGACATGTTACTGAACTACGCTATCCAAGCAAGGTTAGGGTTACCCTTCGGGCATGCGCTCTTGTCAATGAGGAGAACACTGATGTGACAAAGCTTACAGAGTCTTTACTTAATCAGCTAGCCAGCCTACCTCCTGAAATCTGGCAAGAAGGCAAGAACCAACACAACCTGAGATGGGCAGTGTACTGGGCCGCAGAGTGCCGATGTTCAACTCCAGGATTCACGAAGTTACTACAGCAGCAGCTTGATGTCATGTGCATTGAGGAATGTAGAGATGTTGATCATTGTGCGCATGCATTGGTTATGTTGAATATGCCTGATCGTCACCTGGGCCAACACTTGATGAATCGCTACCTTACCATCCAAAGTACAGGTGATCCAAAGTATCGTCATACTGAAGTACTCTCACTACTTCTCTACTGTACACTGTGTGGTGTAGAGTGCAGTGCCTTGCTGGAGCTGATCAGTGTTGATCAACTTATACAGAGTACCGGTAAGTCTATTCCAGAATAAGACATATTGAATAGAGACTTGTGGTCTGCTGGCGGTGGTACGAGTATTTCTTTGCAGCACGGACGTTCAATGCACATCCACACCAATATCCTGTATGTTGTCTTTATGTGGATAATAAATCACTGTGTATTTTTTTCACGCAATCTGAACATTCCAGATTGCCTGCGTAATCTGCAGATTGCGCACGCATCCTGGCGTGACACGGAAATATTTGTGGCGCCAGACCAGGTAAATCCTCGTCCCTGACCTTCCAGGATACTTCTGGGAATACGCCCAAGTACGCGTGGTGCAAAATTCACGTGTGTGGTTCATGTAATCTGTGGGTTTTGCTGCGAACCTGAAGAGCACAACAAATTCATGTGGGGCGCAATCTGTGGACTTTGTTGAAAACATGAAGAGCACAGCAAATCCGTGTGGGGCGCTATCTGTGAATTTCGTTGAAAAACATGAACAGCACAGAGAATCCATGTGGGGTGCAGTCTGTGGGCACAGTCTGTGCCTTTTGTCACAGTGTGTACTGCTAAGGAAGGTATGCTTTCACATACATAATGAATGGTGTTGGATGTTAGAGTGTACGTTGAATGATTCAAACTTGAATTTCCAATGAAGTTGTCATGGCAGGAGCTTAGGTTTGATATTGAATCGTACAAAAAGAATAGAATGGGATACAGAGCTTGGGTTGGCTGTGACTCAGAGTTTCACGCCTGTGGCGATCATCAGACAGCAATGATTACAAAAACTCAATGAATATTCTTGATATAGTGTGGTAAGGTGCTAGTGGAATCAGAGAATTTAAGGGCAAATAAGGTGAAGCAGTGATTCTATGCATGTACTTGCAAGATCAGCGCCAGATATCAGGTGTAATCCTGGTTTATGTAACTGGAGCCGGTGTGAAGTTAGATAGGTAGAATTTGTATTGAATCATATACAGTGAAACCTGTCTAAGGCGACCCCTCAGGGGGAGAGAAAAAGTAGTCACCATGCCGGGCCAGGTGGTCTTCTTATCCAGGTTCAGTGGGTCACGTGACCATATCCACATGTGATACCTCATTTTGATCAGTGTATCACAGTGCACACGCCTGTGCTACTCTAGCACTACTCATGTGCCTGGGGTCCTCAGACCTGTCAAGTGTCGTGCATGCACCATGTACGTCTACACTTCCTGCCTGCACTGATGTGTAGATCTACCATGCATGGTGCACTATGCAATGCGTACGTTTACATGTACTAGCACTGTGCAACGCGGTCGCGGGTGGGTGGTCGTTGGTCGCGTTGAGCGAGTGGTCGCCTTATCCGAGCTGTTTTGAATGTGAATACGTCCGTGACAAGGATAGGTTGTCGCCATGGTCGAGTGGTCGCCATTACAGGTTTTACTGTATGACATCAGTACGGTCGTTCAGTTTTGTGCAATGTTATCGCATGAGCTGATTGTCAAGTAACTGGTGGTGTTAGTGGACAATATAGCATAACTTGTAGTTCCTTGGTCCTTTTCTTTACTATAAATATAACCAAGAGTGTATAATTTTAAGTCTCGAGTACTCGCATTGAAGGACATGTCCATGTATCCGGAACATTTGTTTCCTGGCAAATTTTTTTGTGCCTAAGAGCATGTCCCTGCTTGCGCGTGAATACGATATCTACTTATGCACTGGATTGAAGAATGCGACCGATTAAAATATACTCACGACAACTTGAGTAACATACTCGTGCAAAGCCATGTATGTTTGTAAACAGGACAGACATTATGTACTTACGTATGTATACAGTATTATTAAGTCACACACCGACGATGACTCATGTAGTGTTCTGACTTTTAAGTGTGAGGCGTAACACAAGTTGAGTTGGTGTGAATATGACCAATGATCACATCCAAATGTCAATTACCGCTTGAAATTTTCATTTTCACATTCTGATATATTGCTGGTCTGTGTCCATACCACTGTGTGTTCCTCTCAATTCTGTCTGTCCTGACTTCTGTGCAGAATGCGATTCTCGCCATGTCCAACTGCTATTTTTGCACAACACCCTTCCTGGTACTAACGACCAGCGGCTACAGATATTGGAAACATGTTTGGTGCGGTTCCGAAAGGCTGTGGCAAGTCGGTATTCAGGTCGAATGCATGATATGCTGTCATACTTCATTGGCTCAAAGTACACCACTGGCATTTCTCTGGTTGATGGTTTGCAAGTTCAAGCATTCTGCATATTCAACCGAGACTATGAACCAGTGGAGACTGACGCGTATCCAGCTGATGTATACAACGGTGTATCAGTAGATATGACAGCAGCCAGACGTCATGGTTTCAGTGTTGTGGCATGTAAGGGTGTGAGCGATATACGACTACTACGTCATCCGGCTTGTGCACCTAACGTATATACCACTCTTGAGGCATCGGCACTCAAATCTCAAGGATGCTATATTATTCCGGTGAGTTCCAGTGCTAGTGATTTGATTTTGATGATGTCCGTCTTGATTCTTTAGTGACAGTGGGAAGAAAAGAGCTTGTGTGTCACGGCCGCATTGCGAGTTTGTGACCTGGCTTAGATCAGTCTAGTGGCTACCCAGACTCCCAGGTAGACGACCAATATAGTCACCATCCAAGTTAGCTAGCTCACACAGAACGACAGGTTTCTAATTCCACCTGAACCGTGTTCATTGAACTATTGCTATGCTAGATCGAAATATCAGCGTGAAGAGTCAAAGATCCAGACAGAGCAGGGCAGAGTCGGAGTGACTCTCCCAGGATCGAGAGTGAATCGAGGGAGTAGTGAGCTCCCCAAGAGTCGAGGATGAATGTCAGCAAAACCGCTCCTTATATATGCTACATTATGTGATCAAAACTATACAGCGGCAAGAATGTGTAAGGATTATTTCTATACTTCAAACAGTGGTGCAATCAGCCAAACCGGAATGTAGGGCAATGATCAATACGGGGAGCCCGCTCACCCAAATGTGAATATTAATCATCTCCATATGCTGGCATTACCTTGGTCCACGATCCAGTGGTTGGGATGCATTGCAGCTGGCGGGAAGCATGGCTGTGTCATTCTTGTGGCTTCACCCAAGGCGGGCTCTTCCCCCAAACATAGCAGCAGACGGCAGAGCCACTTTCCCACGAAAAGGGTACGGAGTCCACAGTACGCGAAGCACTGCAGACCCTTTACATTGTACGATGCGAGAAGAGACGCTACTCTTGCTCAACTAACAAGGGTATCAGCTCCCTTGCAGGACGAGACGTGGTCCCCTCAAGCTCAACAGTGTAGTGAGTACAACCCTGACAGCTTTCTAGAATATTTCGGAGTCCAGCTTTTGGCTTGTTGAACTCAATGTATGGTCGCTTTCACGACGAGTCTAATCCTGGTCATCACATGTACACGATGAGAGTTTGGAGTGTTTTTACTGCCTCCTGTTGCGCTAGTCTCGTAGTACGACTTAGTCTGACCCTTCTGAAGATGATATTCAGTGACGGATTGACTATAGAGACATTTATCCCCTTTATGAGCTACACTTTTGAATTACACCACTATTTCTTGCTCTCTTGAAAGGTTGTACTCGAACATGGCGCTCGGCACTCGCAGAGAAGCAGACACTTTATCCCGGATTTGCTGATCAATTATCCGCATCACATTGGCGTGTTTAAAGACCTGTTGCCAGCCAAGCAGTGATGAATATACACACTGATGTCATACTTAACACTATGGTAAGTTTACAGAATGTTAGATGATGTATTTGTCTAGTTTTGTTCTTGCAGCTTCGTTGGCTGCAATGTCTAGTTTGAAAAGAGAAATAAAACTAATTGCAGAAGTATAACATAAGTACATGACACAAACAGGGCAGGCGGGGCAGCTCGAAGTAGCCGTGAACGCCGTTGTCTGATGTTTGCTGAACTGTGTTAAACTTGTCCAGCTTCACAGCCCTTCGCCTCTAGTGTTTGTCTACATAACAGGACATGTCTATGGTAATGGAGTCTGTAATGAACAGCATGCTAGATTCTCTCTTCGGATGGATTTCTTGTACTTGGTAATGGACCACACTCGAAACCGTGACTGGTTGTTGGTTTTTGTGGCTGGATGAATTGCATATTAGACTGTATGACTGGTTGCAAGACCTGTAACTGTTCACAGGGGCCGGACTGTTCACCGACGACCACATATACGTACTTGACTTTGCAACTATGTGAATGGGCTGAAGTGTTATTTTGTCGTGAACTAAATTTTTGACATCACGTTTCATGCACAAGTAAATGTACTTGCAAGTACATGTACGTTGAAAAAACTGCTCTCGCAGGTCTTATTGATGCAGGGCAAGATTAGAAAAGAGGGTCACGGCTTCCATGACTAATCAAAATAAATGTAACCGAAGAATTCTGCTGGCCCCAAAGGTTCCAAACCCATCTCCAGAGTTGCACACTCCACTGCATCATGTACTCTTGCTGACGTTACAGTCAGTATTAACACAGAGATACACGTACATGTGGCTAGCCGACACGTCAAGAAAGAAACTTGATAACCACCATAGAGAGTGGAGTGCGCTGTGTAATACTTCCTGATCTTAAATAATTGTAATTGCTGTTTGCGTGGGTCTTCTGTGTTCTCTCAGGTACCTCTGAACAGCAGAATACTATGCCGAATACTATGCCGAATTGTGCAGGAAGTGTGTGATAATATCATGGGAGACTGGAATATGGTGTCCATCTTGTGATTTTTTAAAGTTATTTTTTCTCCGATTCCTTTCTTTTGCTGCTGACCAGAACACTGAGGAAGTTGGTGCTGCGTCTTGTTTCATTCCACTCTATTGGCTCAGTAACCGAGTAACTGAGTAACTGAGTAACTGAGTACATTGGATGTGAGAGGGTAATGCTGCTAGTGCTAGTGCAGTATGCATGTTGATTGTGTTTTTGAAATCAAGGCATTGTCGAATTTTGTGTATGTGTGGTACATGGTGTATGTGTGTATGTATGTGTGTGTGATTACTTTACTTCCCATTTCTTTTTTTCTGTTCTGAGTGCGTACATATTGTACGTTGATATTGTGAATCCTCCACATGTGTATTTAGCTTCCATTGTGCGTGAGTGTGTGTGCTTGTACATCTACATGTATATCCCATGAAGTTCGTTTTTCTTTGTGTGGGCATATACGTTGATATTGTGAATCCTCCACATTTGTGTTGTTCCTTCCATTGTCCATACAACATGTAGTACATGTAGCGTCTGGAGTAGCCAGGATCCTGATTCTTGACTGAGCTATGCAAAACACGTTAAAAAGGTGGTAGCGTCTGCCGTGATCTGTGTGTGTATGTGTGTATGTATGTATGTATGTGTGTGTGTGTGGTGCGTGTGGGGGTGGTGTGTGTGTGGGGGTGTTTGTGTGTGTGTGTGTATGTGTTCCGTCAGGCCGGCACGTCATGTGTCGGTGACAGGAGGACAAAGACTAAAAGAGCTGGCATTGCACCAGGCGTGGGTCGATTCACCCGTGAAACGTGACTAAGTACCAGCACATGCACAGCTAGCTCAGCACATTTATGATGAATTTTGATGTTGATGAAATACACCATGTAGCCGGTGAAAGAAACAAACATGTGGCGAGAGTTCTGTGCTGAGCTCTCTTGTTTGTCTGTTTTTTTTTTATGTGAAAAAGAGAAGAAACACATGAGAACATTTATTACTGGCTCAGTATCCGAGTTTATATTTTATGTGTATGCTGATGTGTGACGGTGTGGGTGTTTTCTGTAAGGCGGCACAAGCCATGTGAGATCGGATTGTGACTGATCACATATGGGATGCAGCCTGGTGACGTGGCTTGTTCGTTTGAGGATATAGAACTAACATACATGTATGATGTAGACCGATCCTAGCGATGGTCCTGACCTGGCTCTTTTGTTAATCATCAACAAATCACTACAAATTCTACAATAGTCATGTAGCGTACGGATGTCCAAGATATCACTGCTGCTCGGTCTGAATAATTTTTCTTTCTTTGATCTCAGAGTCGTATTGAAAAATAAGTAGATCTACCCGGGGGGGGGGGGGGGGCTATCCGGATGAATACCCGGAGTGCGGCTTGTGTTTGTGTAGCGGCAACTCAGCAGTCAGAGAAAACCATGCATGCACCAACTGTTATGACAAATTGTACTGTATGTACAGACCGTGTCCGTGATGTTTGACACGTGAGTGATGACGCATGTGTTATCCAAAAGCCTTTTTGCAAATAATTTTGGCCATTTGCGGCATTTGCGGCTTTTTGCGCTAAAAAAAAACGGCGACAAAAAAAGAAACAACAAGAGCGCCTTCTATTAAAGAAAAACATAAAAAACTTCAATGCCACTCAAGTTTTGTTGTTTCATCTTCTCTAATCCACTGCTTCTTCATTAACAATATGCTTGGTGTTCAGAATTACCTTTCCTGCAATGACAGAATTTGAAAGTCTGTAACTGAATTTGAAAATTAATTTTCATTTGGTATCCTACAGACTGTGTTTACTCCTTGGGTGGAGTTTCAAGACATTCTGGTGAAGTTCTTCGGTTGCTATGTGTAGCTAGGGCTGGTCCAAAGATGCCTTTGGTGCCATGCGATGTATGCACTTTCATGATGAATTTGCCGCGACTTCAAATCACCATAACTCTGTTGTTTTTCAAGATATCCACTCCAAATTTCGGCTGCTACTTTGTTTTACCCCATACGTTCCAAAAATCCGATTAGAAACGGCCAGCTACCAACATGGAAAAATCATGGGAACTCCCCACTATTAGACAATAGTCTAGTACTTAGTACTAATACTTGTAATAGTAGTACTACATGACTGACAGTCTGTACGCTGTACCTCGATCTCGCCTTCATAATGACTTACATCAAGAGTACGTACTCTTGCTTACATGTATGTAGATCTACTGACTGTTGTGGACATGGAAATCCGGTCGCTAGCGGCCCCAGGGCGCTGGCCATGCAGCCGCGGATAAGCGGTACTCGTACGTACATACATTAATGCGTTGCAACACGCTGGATCCACATCAATGCAACAATACATGTGCATGACTTGTGGAAGTACACGCAGCGTTCTAGTTCTGTACGCGCTGAGGGCCCGGCGCCGACCCCGGTCAATCGACTGGATTTTCAGGTCCGCTGCAGTAGATCTACCACTACTACAGACTAGCATAGTACAGTACTAGACTACCAGCGCTGCAACTCGCGAGTAGCGTGTTGTTATGCACTTGAGTGATGACGCGTGTGTTATCAAAAGCCTTTTTGCAAATTATTTTGGCCATTTGCGCTAAAAAACAAGGACAAAAAAACAAAACAAGAAACAACAAGAGCACCTCGATCTCGCCTTTATAATGAGATCTACCAGCTAGCGCTAGCGTGTTGTTATGCTAAGGTCAGAAAGGACTTGGTGAAGTTGGTGGCACTCGCTGGTTTATATCATCAGTTGAAGAATATTCCTTATCCTGGCGTCGATCGCTGAGAAGGTGCACTATTGGCTACTGACGTGGATAATAGTTTGTTACATTCACAACAGTGTTGCTGTGGTAATCTGCGCAGTGCTGAACATCTCTATTCACTGTGCAACTGTATCATACCGCTATCAAAACTTACTGGGGTAAGAGAATTATGTATGTACAAAAAAGAAGATGAATGTTGAAGAAACAATAGTTGACTGGCGGGCTGGGTGCGTTCCAGCAATTGTTTTCCGGATTTCAGCATGCAATGTGGCAGTGTGTTGTGTATCGGACATGCATAATCTTACCACCCTATCTGACTTTTCGGCCGAGGAAAAAATCGAGAAGTAGTTTGACAATTCCTAAAACTAGTAGAGAACGAGTACGTGTACATGTTGGTGACTCGTTTCCCCATCCTTAGTTCGGCCAAATTGGCAGGGAATTTCGATGTGGTTGACTGAAGTTTGTTTTCAAGTCAAACAACACGTGTACATGTAGTTATAAACTAATTGAAGTGATTTTTGCATTCAAGTTAATGAAAAAAACCCAAAAGCAGTTTTACGAATCATGTCCTTCGTGACTGATCTGGTTGAGGCAGTAAGTGTTGGTGACTGAAATCTGGTCCATGTAAGTCAGCTAGTACTGGACACTGTGCAGCCGTAGACCTTCCTACATTGGGTTGTGCACTGCTGTATGGAAATGTATTATTCATGATCCCGGATCATTCATCTAGCACTGCTCAGTAGATAGTGTGCACAGTTGCATGTAGTATATGATCTGTTGTATGTGTGTGTGTGTGTGTGTGTGTGTGTGTATGTGTGTGTGTGTGTGTGTGTGTGTGTGTGTGTATGTGTGTGTGTGTGTGTGTGTGTGTGTGTGTGTGTGTGTGTGTGTGTGTGTGTGGTGTATGTTGTGTGTGTGTGTGTGTGTGTGTGTGTGTGTGTGTGTATGTGGTGTGTGTGTGTGTATTTTGCCGCACTGTGTGTTATTCTCTACAGACCGTCAGTACGTAATCTTCTGAGAAATTCCCAGTAATCCACACCATACACTGTACGCTATACACCCGTGTACTACTGAATATACAACATCACCAGGAGAACATGTTTGCTTCAAAGTTACATGGCAATCTCAAGACTGTCAGTAAGTTTGTTCAGCGTGGTTATGCTGTGAGTGTACAGAGCCGGTTAGTCCAGTCAACCAGCGGATCAAGGTTATGTGTTACTAGTAAGGTGACTCAGACATCAGCACAGTCCAGGCAGTCAGTTAGGTGGAGATCAGATCAGTCTGGTCGTCAAGTCACTACGGTACGTGATGCCATTGATACCATTGATTCAATATTTGATAGCATCGTGAAGACGCACACGTTTCAAACCAGCTATCTACTATCACAATGTTCTCTCATCCAACGACATGTTCCTGAACTACGGAGTCCAGGCATGATTAGGGTTTCCCTTGAGGCATGTGCTCTTGTCAATGAGGAGAACACTGATGTGACAAAGCTTACAGAGTCGTTACTTAATCAGCTAGCCAGCCTACCTACTGAAATCTGGCAAGAAGGCAAGAACCAACACAACCTGTTATGGGCACTGTACTGGGCCGCAAAGTGCCGATGTGCAACTCCAGGATTCACGAAGTTACTACAACAGCAGCTTGATGTCATGTGCATTGAGGAATGTAGAGCTGTTGATCGGTGTGCACATGCATTGTTTATGTTAAATATGCCTGATCGTCACCTGGCCCAGCACTTGATGAATCGCTACCTTACCATCCAGAGTAGAGGTGATCCCAAGTATCGTCATACTCAAGTACTCACACTACTTCTCTACTGTACACTGTGTGGTGTAGAGTGCAGTGCCTTGCTGAAGCTGATCAGTATTGATCATCTGATACAGGGTAAGTCTATTCCGGAATAAGACCTATAGAATAGAGACTTGGTGTCTGCTGGTGGTGGTACGAGTATTTCTTTGTTGTCTTTACGTCGATATTGAATCACTGTGTATTTTTTCACGCAATCTGAAGATTCCAGATTGCCTGCGTAATCTGCAGATTGCGCACGCATCCTGGGGTAACACGGAAATATTTGTGGCGCCAGACCAGGTAAATCCTCGCCCCTGATCTTCCGGGATACTTCCGGGAATACGCCCAAGTGCGCGTGGTGCAAAATTCACGTGTGTGGTTCATGAAATCTGTGGGTTTTGCTGCGAACCTGAAGAGCACAACAAATTCATGTGGGGCGGAATCTGTGGACTTTGTTGAAAACATGAAGAGCACAGCGAATCCGTGTGGGGCGCTATCTGTGAATTTCGCTGAAAAACATGAACAGCACAGAGAATCCATGTGTGGTGCAGTCTGTAGGCGCGATCTGTGTTTTTTGTCACCGTGTGTACTGCTAAGGAAGGTATGCTTTCACATACATAATGGTGTTGGATGTTTTAGAGTGTATGTTGAATGATTCAAACTTGAATTTCCAATGAAGTTGTCATGGCAGGCTTAGGTTTGATATTGAATCATACAAAAAGAATAGAATGGGATACGGAGCTTCGGTTGGCTGTGACTCAGAGTTTCATGCCTGTGGCGATCATCAGACAGCAATGATTACAAAAACTCAATGAATATTCTTGATATAGTGTGGTAAGGTGCTAGTGGAATCAGAGAATTTAAGGGCAAATAAGGTGAAGCGGTGATTCTATGCATGTACTTGCAAGAGGTGTAATCCTGGTTTATGTAACTGTAGGTGTGAAGTTAGATAGGTAGAATTTGTATTCAATCATATACAGTGAAACCTGTCTAAGGCGACCCCTCAGGGGAAGAGAAAAAGTGGTCGCCGTGCCGGGCCAGGTGGTCTTCTTATCCAGGTTCAGTGGGTCACGTGACCATATCCACATGTGATACATCATTTTGCTCAGTGTATCACAGTGCACACGCCTATGCTACTCTAGCACTACTCATGTGCCTGGGGTCCTCAGACCTGTCAAGTGTCGTGCATGCACCATGTACGTCTACACTTCCTGCCTGCACTGATGTGTAGATCTACCATGCATGGTGCACTGTGCAATGCGTACATTTACATGTACTAACACTGTGCAACGCGGTCGCGGGTGGGTGGTCGTTGGTCGCGTTGAGCGAGTGGTCGCCTTATCCGAGCTGTTTTGAATGTGAATGCGTCCGTGAAAAGGAAAAGTGGTCGCCATGGTCGAGTGGTCGCCATATCCGAGCTGTTTTGAATGTGAATGCGTCCGTGAAAAGGAAAAGTGGTCGCCATGGTCGAGTGGTCGCCATTACAGGTTTTACTGTAGGACATCAGTACGGTCATTCAGTTTTGTGCAATGTTATCGCATGAGCTGATTGTCAAGTAACTGGTGGTGTCAGTGGACATTATAGCATAACTTGTAGTTCCTTGGTCCTATTTTTTACTATAAATATAACCAAGAGTGTATAATTTTAAGTCTCGAGTACTCGAATTGAAGGACATGTCCATGTATCCGGAACATTTCTTTCCGGGCAAAACATTTTTGTGTCTAAGAGCATGTCCCTGCATGCACGTGAATACGATATCTACGTATGCACTGGATTGAAGAATGCGACCGATAAAAATATACTCATGACAACTTGAGTAACATACTCGTGAAAAGCCATGTATGTTTGTAAACAGGACAGACATTATGTACTTACGTATGTATACAGTATTATTAAGTCACACAGCGACGATGACTCATGTAGTGTTCTGACTTTTAAGTGTGAGGCGTAACACAAGTAGAGCTGGTGTGAATATGACCAATGATCACATCCAAATGTCAACTACCGCTTGAAATTTTCATTTTCACATTCTGAGATATTGCTGGTCTGTGTCCATACCACTGTGTGTTCCTCTCAATTCTGTCTGTCCTGACTTCTGTGCAGAATGCAATCCTCGCCATGTCCAACTGCTATTTTTCCACAACACCCTCCCTGGTACTAAAGACCAGCGGCTACAGATATTGGAAACATGTTTGGTGCGGTTCCGAAAGGCTGTGGCAAGTCGGTATTCAGGTCGAATGCATGATATGCTGTCATACTTCATTGGCTCAAAGTACACCACTGGCCTTTCTCTGGTTGATGGTGTGGACGTTCAAGCATTCTGCGTATTCAACCGAGACTATGAACCAGTGGAGACTGACGCGTATCCAGCTGATGTGTACAATGGTGTATCCGTAGATATGACAGCAGCTAGACGTCATGGCTTCAGTGTTGTGGCATGTCTGGGTGTGAGTGACACTCGGTTACTACGTCATCCGGCTTGTGCACCAAACGGATATACCACTCTTGAGGCATCCGCACTCAAATCTCAAGGATGCTATATTATCCCGGTGAGTTCCAGGGCTAGTGATTTGATTTTGATGATGTCCGTCTTGATTCTTTAGTGACAGTGGGAGGAAAAGAGCTTGTGTGTCACGGCCGTGTTGCGGGTTTGTGACCTGGCTTAGATCAGTCTAGTGGCTACCCAGACTCCCAGGTAGACGACCAATATGGTCGCCATCCAAGTTAGCCAGCTCACACAGAACGACAGGTTTCTAATTCCACTTGAACCGTGTTTATTGAACTATTGCTATGCTAGATCGAAAGATCAGCGTGAAGAGTCAAAGACCCAGACAGAGCAGGGGAGAGTCGGAGTGACTCTCCCAGGATCAAGAGTGAATCGAGGGAGTAGTGAGCTCCCCAAGAGTCGAGGATGAATGTCAGCAAAACAGCTCCTTATATATGCTACATTATGTGATCAAAACTATACAGCGGCAAGAATGCGTAAGGATTATTTCTATATTTCAAACAGTGGTGCAATCAGCCAAACTAGAATGTAGTACAGCGATTAATACGGGGAGCCTGCTCACCCAAATGTGAATATTAATCATCTCCATATGCTGGCATTACCTTGGTCCGCGATCCGGTGGTTGGGATGCATTGCAGCTGACGGGAATTGTAGCTGTGTCATTTCATGTGGCTTCACCCAAGGCGGGCTCTTCCCCCAAACATAGCAGCAGACGGCAGAGCCACTTTCCCACCAAAAGGGTACGGAGTCCACAGTACGCGAAGCACTGCAGACCCTTTACATTGTACGATGCGAGAAGAGACGCTACTCTTGCTCAACTAACAAGGGTATCAGCTTGCTTGCAGGACGAAGCGTGGTCCCCTAAAGCGCAACAGTGTAGTGAGTACAACGCTGGCAACTTGTACTGAAGGTGTCGTCGACGTACGGCAACACTTGGTGGCTCTCTGCCACGAGCTGTAAGCCATGATTGCTCAACTAACGAAAGTGCCAAATCCTTCGCAGGACGATTCAGGGTTCTTACAGAACTCTAGAATATTTCGGAGTCCAGCTTTTGTCTTGTTGAACTCAATGTATGGTCGCTTTCACGACGAGTCTGATCCTGGTCATGACATGTACACAATGAGAGTTTGGAGTGTTTTTACTGCCTCCTGTTGCGCTAGTCTCGTAGTACGACTTAGCCTCACCCTTCTGAAGATGATATTCAATGACGGATTGACTATAGAGACATTTATCCCCTGGATGAGCTACACTTTTGAATTACACCACTATTTCTTCCTCTCTTGATAGGTGGTACTCAAACATGGCGCTCGGTACTCGCAGAGAAGCAGACACTTTATCCCGGATTTGCTGATCAATTATCCGCATCACATTGGCGTGTTCAAAGACCTGTTGCCAGCCAAGCAGTGATGAATATACACACTGATGTCATACTTAACACTATGGTAAGTTTACAGAATGTTAGATGATGTATTTGTCTAGTTTCGTTCTTGCAGCATCGTTGGCTGCAATGTCTAGTTTGAAAAGAGAAATAAAACTGATTGCAGAAGTATAACATATTAAAGTACATAACACAAACAAGGCAAGCAGGGCAGCTCGAAGTAGCTGTGAACGCCGCTGTCTGATGTTTGCTGAAATGTGTTAAACTTGTACAGCTTCACAGCCCTTCGCCTCTAGTGTTTGTCTACATAACAGGACATGTCTATGGTAATGGAGTCTGTAAATAACAGCATGTTAGATTCTCCCTTCGGATGGATTTCTTGTACTTGGTAATGGACCACACTCGAAACCGTGACTGGTTGTTGGTTTTTGTGGCAGGATGAAAGGGCATATTAGACTGTATGACTGGTTGCAAGACCTGTAACTGTTCACAGGGGCCGGACTGTTCACCGAGGACCACATTTACTGACTTGACTTTGCAACTAAGTGAATGGGCTGAAGTGTTATTTTGTCATGAACTGAATTTTTGACATCACGTTTCATGCACAAGTAAATGTACTTGCAAGTACATGTACGTTAAAAAAACTGCTCTCGCAGGTCTTATTGATACAGGGCAAGATTAGAAAAGAGGGTTACGGCTTCCATGACTAATCAAAAAAATGTGAACGAAGAATTCTGCTGACCCCAAACCCATCTCCAGAGTTGCACACACCACTGCATCATGTAGAGTAGACGGTTTGATACCGGAACGCCTTGACAGCCAAATTTGTATAGACCCAAACCGATCATCAGCGTTGATTTTTCACTCGAAATATGTTTGTAGAAGGAAACTGGCATGTTGAAGTTTGCTCTGGGGCCAGAGTCCATCGAACTGAGCCACTCCTTTGTGTTGACCCATTGCCTCCAAGTTGCCCAATTTTTCGCTTCAAAAAAGTTCAAATCAGATGTGGCTCCAAACCGGACACGTTTTAGAGTGCACGTCAAATTCACTCTGGGTCTGAAATTAGGTAATTGCTATCGCTCCACGACGGCCAGTACAGAGTAACAATAAGCCTTTGTGTGTGCTTCCATTAGTTTTGATTGGTATGCGGTGCTTTATTGGCGAGAGGCGAGCCGCTGTTTACCTGCGACAAGAAGTTGATTATTCGAAAGTGTGTGTGTATTCGAAAGTCGTAAAACTCAAGTCGCAGTGCGAAGCAACATGTCAAAAACTCACCTGCTTGGTATGGCGCTTCTGGTCATCGCAGAGCCATGAAATTTTGGCTCGGAGTATAACACATCGTAGTCTCACTGTGACATATTAGTCAGGGAGCCGACCTTCAAAAAAGTGGCGCTCCAGGTCGGGCGAGATGGAGTACAAGATCTCTTCAGCAATGGGTTATGGGTCTATCAGAGAAGGGCTTTCGAGTTCTTGGCCATCCCAAAGCTGTGCACGGACATCGCGAGGACGCATTTTGTTCGACGATCAAATTCACAATTGTCAAGCATTTAGGCGCAAATGTTTTTCGTTCTCAGCCGACTTCTCGGTTTGAGAAGTAGGTGCGCACGCTCAAAATTCCAAATCAGTGACTATGCGCCTGTCCAGAAGATGACGACGCTGCAAGCTTACTTTCTCAAAGCGTGACATACATTTTCATTACGATTTTGGCTTTGAAAGTGAGAATAGTATTGCCATCGTCAGGTCCACTAGTCACGAAGCATGGCGCTTCTGGACAAAAGCGCAACATAGAGTGTGTACCAGCAATAGTGCACAATCATACTCGCGCCTACTCCGGCAATTCTGCAACGCGTGCAAGCAAAGTTTCAAAAGTATATTTCCAGGTCTGACTGAGGTCGAGTCGAGCGAAGATTCCGGCAGAGTAGGCGAGATGTTGCTTGCTGACAAGTCGGCCTCCGCGTCCCTGAGTCCTGACTGCCAGTGCCACAGCCGTATGCACCAGTGACCAGTCACCGGACGTGCAAGATCATCATCACCCATGTCGGTACTCTGCCTGGCCTATTTATCTGCTGGTGGTGTCAACTCCGTTGCAGTTTGCCAGCTTGTTTGTTCCGGTACTCGTTCTTCACTGGTTCAGGTGAGCCTAGCTGCTTTTGCACAAAATACTTTGTGGATCCTGTGAGAGATCATGTAACTCGAAAACGAGACGTTGTTTGAAACAAAGGTAGAATAACAATCACTGCCAGTTCCACATGCACTTCTGACAGGAACTACGACAGACGTCTACGTGGCAGCACCAAAGGAGAGCATGGGATAGGCAACATAACAAGGTAGAACATACATGCGCGCACGTGCATGTGTGCGAGCTTGTGTACACGCGCGCACGCCCACACACACTTGCAAGCGTGTACTCACATGTGTGCGAGTGTGCATGAGTGCACACACACGCACACACATGTGACTCTCTGTTCGCACACACACACACACATACATGTGTGCGAACATGCGCGCATTCATCACACACGCGTGCGCACATACACACAAGTGGATGCGCACATGCCAATGCTCACACACACACACGCATACACGTGTACATGTGCACGCACACACACGCGTGCGCGCTTGCACGCACATAGGTGGATGCGCACATGCAAATGCTCACACACACATACACGCATACACATGTACATGTGCACGACACACGCGCGCGCGCACACACAGGTGGATGCGCGCACGTGCATGTGTGCGATCTTGTGTATACGCGCGCACGCCCACACACGCGCGCAAGCGTGTACTCACATGTGTGCGAGTGTGCATGAGTGCACACACACACACACACACACACATGTGACTCTCTGTTCGCACACACACACACATACATGTGTGCGAACATGCGCGCATTCATCACACACGCGTGCGCACATACACACAGGTGGATGCGCAAAAGGCCAATGCTCACACACACACACGCGCATACACGTGTACATGTGCACGGCACACGCGCGCGCGCACACACACACGTGGATGCGCACATGCAGATGCTCACACGCATACATACATATAAACACACACACTCATGCACGCGCACGTCATTATCTACGAATCTCAGAAACATGCAACACGCGGCCAGAAGTTAATCATCACCAGTGAACTTGCTGTGATTGTGGTACCAACAACATGCTGTGCAAGAACGTCACCATCATCGGCTGCTCTGAGGTAGCATTCCAGAATGGCAATTTACAAACCCGCTGTCTAGTGCCCTACTATCATCTCCACGGAGCAGCAGTCGGAACCCAGGAGATAACTGCTCGGCATAGCTGCAAACATCGCAAAGGTTACAGCACTGGATGCTTCTAGTGCAACGGGTCACCCCAACCCTGTACTATACTTGCTGGTGCATGTCCGAATGTGACAACCCAATCATTAGCGCCCATGTTCTGGACCGTCACTAACGCTTCCGCCCAGGGCCTTATTACGGGCTTTTACGGTACTCGCCGATGCATGTCCGAATGTGGCAACCCGCTCAGCAGCACTACACATGTGAGCAACAAGTGGACGTCGTTGGCAGCACAGAGCAGAGGATCGCAAACCGGATGAAGAATGGATACTGTTCTCCATGATGAAGGGATCAAAAACCGTTCAACACAGATATTGCGCTACATCGTCTTGCCTGGATGTATGCGGTGGTGCCGATGGTGGTGCCGATGCATATCGCGTCCATGACACTGTTTACATATCTGCATTCAGCCTTTGTTCACATAAATATGATGCACCGTAGCTGTAGTTTTAAAATGATTATATTCTACATGTTACCGCCACATTTACTGATTGCGTTTGCGGAAATTCCTAAAATATACTACGTCTACTACTACTCAATTTACCACACAAAGGACTGAATGAAGTAGGGAAATAATCATCCCATGATCTTCTACAATGTGAATGCTTCCACGTACGCGCATGTCATTGTGCAGCATCCGAAACTTCAACAAAACAATGATTCAAAGAGACGTTATTCAAGATAAGTCATGCATTTCTACGTTCACTGGTATAATCAAAGATTCCGTTCAAGGCAGCTGCCATGATGTGTACCTTACCACCTTTAACACACGTTGTCAGTCCGCTCATTGACTAGCATGAAATCGTTTGTAGCAGGAGTACTCTTGTTTGTAGTGAGGATCCATCTACAAAACACTATTTGTAAAAACAATCCAGAGTCACCTCGATGGAGACGGACAGTTCCTACGAGACCTGCCTGTCGACATCAGGGTCAAGTGGCAAGTCATTTAGCCGTTACGCACGACAATCTCAGGAACACCAGTCATGTCCTCCTCCGACGAACCAGCTACTGTATGTTACTTCAGAACTCAGAACGACACAATACAAACAGAATGAAAAATGCTTCATCGACGGTGTGACTTTGCGTTTCGCTTCGTGTTTCTTTGTGTTTCTCTTGAAAATCTAGCAAAATTGAGTCATTCGCATGAAAATGTCTGGTTACGTCAGCGAAACCCGCTGATTTCCCCTATTTTTCAAGCGCTGAATGGCGCAAAAACTGAAATCACGGCAACGAAATAGTGTTCGACGAGCGAACAAACCTCCTTGCACCGGCATTGGTGCACAGCTTCGGGACGGCCAAGTTCTCAAATCGTCCTCTAGAGACCCTTACCTACCTCTGTGCGAAGTTTCAAGTCCTCCCTCTGAAGTGGCATACCCCGAAAATAAAAAGCATCCTACAGATTTCAGCTCCCGGACTATATGTTTTCTAATCAAAATACCAAGAGAGAAAGTGAATATTGAGTCCGTTCCGGTTGCAACCTGTGTCCTATTTGGAATGCGCTGTGTAATACTTCCTGATCTTAAATATTTGTAATTGCTGTTTGCGTGGGTCTTCTGTGTTCTTTCAGGTCTCTCTGAACAGCAGAATACTATGCCGAATTGTGCAGGAAGTGTGTGATATCATGTGAGACTGGAATATGGTGTCCATGTTCTGATTTTTTAAAGTTATTATTTCTCCGATTCCTTCCTTTTGCTGCTGAGCTGAGTAGCTGAGTAGCTGAGTAACCGAGTAACTGAGTAACCGAGTAACTGTGTAACTGAGTAACTGAGTACATCGAATGTGAGAGGGTAGTGCTGCTAGTGCTAGTGTAGTATGCATTGATTTGTGTTTTTCAAATCAAGGCATTGTTGAGTGTGTGTGTGTGATTACTTTACTTCCAATTTTCTTTTTTTCTCTTCTGAGTGCGTATACAATGTACATGTACGTTGATATTGTGAATCCTCCACATGTGTATTTAGCTTCCATTGTGCGTGAGTGTGTGTGTGCTTGTACATTTATATCCCATGAAGTTCGTTTTTCTTTGTGTGGGCATATACGTTGATATTGTGAATCCTCCACATTTGTGTTGTTCCTTCCATTGTCCATACAACACGTAGTACATGTAGCGTCTGGAGTAGCCAGGATCCTGATTCTTGACTGAGCTATGCAAAACACGTTATAAAGGTGGTAGCGTCTGCCGTGATCTGTGTGTGTGTGTGTGTGTGTGTGTGTGTGTGTGTGTGTGGGTGTGTGTGTGTGTGTGTGTGTGTGTGGTGTGTGTGTGTGTGTGTGTGTGTGTGTGTGTGTGTGTGTGTGTATGTGTTCCGTCAGGCCGGCAAGTCATGTGTCGGTGACAGGAGGACAACGACTAAAAGACTCTCTCTGAGCTGGCATTGCACCAGGCGTGGGTCGATTCACCCGTGAAACGTGACTAAGTACCAGCACATGCACAGCTAGCTCAGCAAATTTATGATGAATTTTGATGTTGATGAAATACACCATGTAGCTGGTGAAAGAAACAAACATGTGGCGAGAGTTCTGTGCTGAGCTCTCTTGTTTCTCTGGGTTGTTTTATGTGAAAAAGAGAAGAAACACATGAGAACATTTATTACTGGCTCAGTATCCGAGTTTATATTTTATGTGTATGCTGATGTGTGACGGTGTGGGTGTTTTCTGTAAGGCGGCACAAACCATGTGAGATCGAATTGTGACTGATCACGTGCGTTGCAGCCTGGTGACGTGGCTTGTTGCGTATGAGGATGTAGAAATAACATACATGTATGATGTAGACCGATCCTAGCGATGGTCCTGACCTGGCTCTTTTTGTTAATCATCAACAAATCACTACAAATTCTACAATAGTCATGTAGATGTACATGTCACGTAGCGTACGGATGTCCAGGATATCACTGCTGCTTGGTCTGAATAATTTTTCTTTCTTTAATCTCAGTCGTATTGAAAAATAAGTAGATCTACCCGGGAAGGGGGGGGGGGGGGGGGGCTATCCGGATGAATACCCGGAGTGCGGCTTGTGTTTGTGTAGCGGCAACTCAGCAGTCAGAGAACACAATGCATGCACCGACTGTTATGACAAATTGTACTGTATGTACAGACCGTGTCCGTGATGTTTGACACGTGAGTGATGACGCATGTGTTATCAAAAAGCCTTTTTGCAAATAATTTTGGCCATTTGCGGCTTTTTGCTCTAAAAAAAAGGGACAAAAAAAGAAACAACAGGAGCGCCTTCGTATTAATAGAAAAACATAAAAAAAACTGCAATGCCACTCAAGTTTTGTTGTTTCATCTTCTCTAATCCACTGCTTCTTCATTAACAATATGCTTGGTGTTCAGAATTACCTTTCCTGCAATGACAGAATTTGAAAGTCTGTAACTGAATTTGAAAATTAATTTTCATTTGGTATCCTACAGACTGTGTTTACTCCTTGGGTGGAGTTTCAAGACATTCTGGTGAAGTTCTTCGGTTGCTATGTGTAGCTAGGGCTGGTCCGAAGATGCCTTTGGTGCCATGCGATGTATGCACTTTCATGATGAATTTGCCGCGACTTCAAATCACCATAACTCTGTTGTTTTTCAAGATATCCACTCCAAATTTCGCCTGCTACTTTGTTTTACCCCATACGTTCCAAAAATCCTCTTAGAAACGGCCAGCTACCAACATGAAAAAATCATAGGAACTCCCCACTATACTAGACAGTATAGTCTAGTAGTACAACATGACTGACAGTCTGTACGCTGTACCTCGATCTCGCCTTCATAATGACTTATGTAGATCTACTGACTGTTGTGGACATGGAAATCCGGTCGCAATTCTAGCGGCCCCAGGGCGCTGGCCATGCAGCCGCGGATAAGCGGTACTCGTACACACATATGCGTTGCAACACCCTGGATCAATGCAACAAGTGCAATACACGCACCGTTCTGTACGCGCTGAGAGCCCGGCGCCGACCCCGGTCAATAGACTGGATTTTCAGGTCCGCTCCGCTGATCCAGTAGATCAACCAGCGTGTTGTTATCATGGTTATGCACTGGATCAATAATCATGGAGTGATGACCGGTCGACCATGATGACGGGTGTGTTATCAAAAGCCTTTTTGCAAATTTTGGCCATTTGCGCTAAAAAACAAGGACAAAAAAAACAAAACATGAAACAACAAGAGCATGCACCTCGATCTCGCCTTCATAATGAGATCTACCAGCTAGCGCTAGCGTGTTGTTATGCTAAGGTCAGAAAGGACTTGGCGGCACTCGCTGGTTTATCTCATCAGTTGAAGAATATTTCTTATCCTGGCGTCGATCGCTGAGAAGGTGCACTATTGGCTACTGACGTGGATAATAGTTTGTTACATTCACAACAGTGTTGCTGTGGTAATCTGCGCAGTGCTGAACATCTCTATTCACTGTGCAACTGTATCATACCGCTATCAAAACTTACTGGGGTAAGAGAATTATGTATGTACAAAAAAGAAGATGAATGTTGAAGAAACAATAGTTGACTGGCGGGCTGGGTGCGTTCGAGCAATTGTTTTCCGGATTTCAGCATGCAATGTGGCAGTGTGTTGTGTATCGGACATGCATAATCTTACCACCCTATCTGACTTTTCGGCCGAGGAAAAAATCGAGAAGTAGTTTGACAATTCCTAAAACTACCGTACTGGCAATATTTATGTTGCCGCAGTGAGGCCATGAAGCGTTACATTGGCACATGTTTGCCGCACGCAGGGCGTTACATGCAAAGTCGCACAGGAGCCGTTACACAGGTTTCTATATTGCCGCAGTCCGTTTTTTTGCCACGCGGTACACGTGCTTTCCCAGTTTTCAGCCTTTGCAGTGCAAACTGCAATGAAAAGATCGCCGCACCCCGCCTGACGCGCGTTACGAACGCAACGAAAATTTGTCGCACTAGCCTGGTCGCGCTTTTACGCCCCACCCCCTGCGTTACGCGTTACGCGGCAACATATATTGCCAGTACGGTAGTAGAGAACGAGTACGTGTACATGTAGGTGACTCGTTTCCCCATCCTTAGTTAGGCCGAATAATAATTGCCAGGGAATTTCGATGTGGTTGACTGAAGTTTGTTTTCGAGTCAAACAACACGTGTACATGTAGTTATAAACTGACTGAAGTGATCTTTTGCATTCAAGTTACTGAAAACCCCCAAAAGCAGTTTACGAATCATGTCCTTCGTGACTGATCTGATTGAGGCAGTAAGTGTTGGTGACTGAAATCTGGTTCATGTAAGTCAGCTAGTACTGGACACTGTGCAGCTGTAGACTTTCCAACATTGGGTTGTGCACCGCTGTATGGGAATGTATTATTCACGATCCCGGATTTCATCATGTCTAGCACTACGGCTGTAGATATTGTGAACAGTTGCATGTAGTATCTGATCTGTTGTATGTGTGTGTGTGTGTGTGTGTGTGTGTGTGTGTGTGTGTGTGTATGTGTGTGTGTGTGTATGTGTGTGTGTGTGTGTGTGTGTGTGTGTGTGTGTGTGTGTGTGTGTGTGTATGTGTGTGTATGTGTGTGTGTGTGCCAGCTAGTTCGGTTGGTGGGTGCACTTATGCCAGATAGGGTTGGGCCTGTTGCCAACGGGCTCGGCTGCTTGAAGGTGTATTGTTGTACCTACCACCTTTGTTGGTTTCAGGGTTCATAATATACTTTCTGTTTGAAGTGTACATACCTGTTAACCATGGACTGCTTCTGGCTAGATTAACTCTTGTGTGATCAATGGTGCTAGTGAAGCTTATATCAGATCCACTCTGATTTAGCCACCCACACTAGTACCAAGTATTACCTTCACTGGGGGCAGGGGTACCTGCAGTTGGATCCCGGGACGGATACCCTGATGCCGTCAATCCTTTTTCTGCACCTTGTCCTCACCCACTTACTGAGGTGTGGTGAGCCCATAAGTGGGATCATTTCAAGTCCACCCGAGTTTGGGGATTTCAGGGGGTGTCAGCCGTTGGGTGGTTCAATGGCCAATTGAGTCATCTTTCCAAGATTCCTTTTGAGTCTCTCTCCCCTCTCCCGGGGAGACCCACGTGACCAGTTTTGGCAGTGAGCAAGTACAAGTACAGGTGTGTGTGTATGTGTGTGTATGTGCGTGTGTATGTGTGTGTGTGTGTATTTTGTCGCACTGTGTGTTATTCTCTACAGACCGGCAGTACGTAGTCTTCTGACAAATTCTCAGTAATCCACACCATACACTGTACGCTATACAGCCGTGTACTACTGAATATACAACATCACCAGGAGAACATGTTTGCTTCAAAGTTACATGGTAATCTCAAGACTGTCAGTAAGTTTGTTCAGCGTGGTTATGCTGTGAGTGTACAGAGCCGGTTAGTCCAGTCAACCAGCGGGTCAAGGTTATGTGTTACTAGTAAGGTGACTCAGACATCAGCACAGTCCAGGCAGTCAGTTAGGTGGAGATCAGATCAGTCTGGTCGTCAAGTCACTACGGTACGTGATGCCTATGATGTTATTGATTCAATATCCGATAGCATTGTGAAGTCATGCACTTTTCAACCCAGCTATCTACTATCACAATGTTCTCTCATTCAACGACATGTTACTGAACTACGGTATCCAAGCAAGGTTAGGATTATCCTGCAGGCATGTGCTCTTATCAGTGAGGAGAACACTGACGTGACCACACTGGCAGTATCTGCACTGAACCAACTGGCCAGTCTACCCACGTATGTCTGGCAAGACAACAGGAATCAAGAGCACCTGAGATGGGCACTGCACTGGGCTGGAAAGTTTCGATGTTCAACTGCAGAATTCACGAAGTTTCTACAACAGCAGCTTGATGTCATGTGCATTGAAGAATGTAGAGATGTTGCTCAGTGTGCATATGCATTGTTTATTTTGAATATGCCTGATCGTCACCTGGCCCAACACTTGACGAATCGCTACACTACCATACAGAGTACAGGTGATCCCAAGTATCGTCATACTGTAGTACTCTCACTACTTCTGTACTGTACACTGTGTGGTGTAGAGTGCAGTGCCTTGCTGAAGCTGATCAGTGTTGACCAACTGATACGGAGTAAGTCTATTCTGGAATAAGCTATTGAATAGAGACTTGTGTCTGTTAGTTGTGGAATTTCTGCTCTCACAGAGTTGAAATTGACACCCATACCAAAATTCTCTATTGTTATTGTCCCTGGTGTCTCAGAGTTTAAATCAAGTGTTGTTTTAAAAACAAGAACAGAAACGATCTCAGTTTGTGGTTTTCTTACACAGTACTCTGCTTGTGCAGATTCGCTTTCACATACATATGATGATCATGTATGTTGTAAACTGATGATTCAACTTGGTTTTTTTTTAAATAAAGTCATGATGGCAGGATTATAGGTATGATTATGAGTCATGCAGCTGGACAGTCTGGAGCCATTCCAAACTTGTGTTAGTATTTCAGCAATCAACTACATTCTAGTGAAATGGGTGGGGCATCCTGCAACTAAACAGTACAATTGGAAGTTTTGAGCACACCTGCCTTATTCCTCAGCACTGCGAAATCGCACTTCAGTCCACTGTATCAGTTTCGACATTTCGACAAATTGCTATCACCAGAATGCAGTGCAATATGCGATATGCATCCTGATGATGTTTGGAAACAGGTCAGACAGTATAAACTTGTGTGTACTTCAAGAAGTATGTGCACCAAATTTGTAACTCACACCCCAACAAAAATTCATCCAGGGTTGTTCCCCTGATTGTGTCTGTTTTACAGGAAGTAGGCTGTTGGCGTGGAAATGACAAATGGATCACTTTCTGATGTCATCGATCTTTGATTTTTTCATTTACACATCATAAAATAAATCTGTTGGTACGTGTCCATATCGCTGTGTGTCTCTCTCGATTCTCTCTGGCCTGACTTCTGTGCAGAATGCCATCCTCGCCGTGTGCAACTGCTATATTTGCACAACACCCTCCCTGTCACTAACGACCAGCGGCTACAGATAATGAACAGGTGTGCAGTGTGGTTCCAGAAGGCTGTGCCAAGTCAGCAGTCAGGTCGAATGTATGACATGCTGTCATACTTCATTGGTCCAAAGCACACCACTGGCATGTCTCTGGTTGATGGTGTGGACGTTCAGGCATTCTGCATCTTCAACCAAGACCATGAACCAGTGAAGACTGATACGTATCCAGCTGATGTATACAACGGTGTATCAGTAGATATGACTGCAGCTAGACGTCATGGTTTCAGTGTTGTGGCATGTCGGGGTGTGAGTGACACTCAGTTACAACGTCATCCTGTACGTACACCTAACGGGTATAACACTCTTGAGGCATCGGCACTCAAATCTCAAGGATGTTATATTATTCCGGTGAGTTGTAGTGCTAGTGTTTGCCTTTGATCATGATGTCTGTCTTGATACTTCAGTGCAGGTTGGAAAACAAGCTGGTGCGTAATGATAGTTTTGAGTGTATTTACTACATGCTGCTGCCCAAGTCTAGTTGTGAGACATAAAAAATGTTTTATAGTCTCAGACTGTTCACCCATCTGAAGACTGTGTTCAGTGTTAAAAGAGATTTTTTTTATCCTGGATGAGCTTAAATTTTGCATTACTTCACTTTCTGTCTACTTTGATAGATGGTACTCAAATATGGCGCTCGGCACTCGCAGAAAAGCAGCCACACTATCCCGGATTTGCTGATCAATTATCCGTATCACATCACCGTGTTCAAAGACCTGTTACCCGCCAAGCAGTGATGGACATACACACTGATGTCATAGTCTACATGATGGTAAGTTACAGAGTGTTAGATGTTGTACATGTATCTGCCATGGTGTAGTTTAGTGTTTTATTCTTTCAACCTCATTGGGTGCAATGTCTATAACCTCATTGGGTGCAATGTCTATAACCTCATTGGGTGCAATGTCTATAACTGATAGCAGAACACTAGTACGGTGTGGTGGATTTGACTTCTTTGATGGGAGTGAGGTGTGCGAGTAGTTGGGCGCATTCTTTCAATCTGACCGAACTAGAAAAGGACATCATCAAGGAATCGATCTGGCTATATCGTGGTGGTGGCCTACCTATGTTGATGAATGCAACGGGTAGTGAGACTGATTAGATGACCTGTGGAAGACTATTCCAGGAATTCCAGTGTCATGGGTTGAAGATTACGATCAATGTTAACCTAGAAGTAGTGAACTTCCTCGTTATCACATAAGCAAACCTGTAAACCGGTCAATACAAATCATACCGAAACCGGGCGCCGCAACGCTATTGTCGTCCGGAAATGGTACTACAGTGCATGCATGCATACGCACAGTGGTGCAACCTGCACAGTCTGAGCGCGGTCCGCTAGCAGGGGAGAACCCCGTGCGCAGGGTAGCGCCAAACGGGACCTGAAAAAGGTGACAAGGACCACACTATACCTGAATACCCAGTCTAACTATCCGCCGGTGATAATACTTCAGTACAAGATCTCCTCAAGCCTACCAGTAGAAGAATATCCGATATCTTGGCTGACAATAATGTGTTCCAGGAGGCTGTACCACCATAAAGGAGTGTGCTGATTAGCAGTAGGTATTGTGAACCCCTAGAGTTGTGTAGTGGACTATCTATTCAGAACATTGACGAATTCCTTTCTGATATGCTCCTCATGACTGGTCTGGGGGCACAGTAGAAACTGTGATTGGTTCAGCCATGTTTGTTTGGTATTGCGACTTGTCACAGGGCATTAGTTTTTTTGTTGACGATATGACTTGTTACAGGATCAGTGACTGTTCACAGGGCCTGTACTACTCACAGGGTCTGGACTGGTCACAGGGCATTGACTGGTCACAGGGCCTGGATTGATCAGAGGGCCTGGACTGGTCACAGGGCCTGGACTGGTCACAGGGCCTGGATTGATCACAGGGCCTGGACTGGTCACAGGGCCTGGACTGGTCGCAGGGCTTGGACTGTTCACAGGGCCTGGACTGGTTATAGGGCATGGACTGGTCACAGGGCCTGGACTGGTCACAGGGCCTGGACTGGTCACGGAGTTCTACACAAAAAAACTAGACTTAGATACGCAGAAGTGCACCATATCGCTTACATAATCTTTGCCGTATAGTTTTTCTTTAAAACTGACATCACAGGTCTTATTGATACAGAGCAAGAGTAGAAACATGGATCACAGTATCCATGACTAATCAAAACGTATATAAACGGAGAATTCTACTGTCCAGAACCCATCTACAGAGTCGCACACTCTGCTTTATGTATTCTAGCCATCGCAACAGTATGGTACAGAGATACAGTCAACTTCGCTAATAAGGACTACGGATATAACGACATTTCGCGAATAGCGACAGAATTTCCATGCCCAGAGCAAATTCCCATCTAACTGTAATACATATAATGAGACTTTGGATATAAGGACACTTCGCAAATAAGGACACTTTTCTGATGCCCCACCGAGTGTCGTTATACGCAAAGTTGACTGTACATGCACGGTACATGTAGCTAGCCACGTCAGGAAAGAAACTTGACCACCACCATAGAGAGTTGGGTGAGCTGTGTAATACTTTCCTGATCCTAGTATTTGCTGTTTGTGTACGAGGTGAATAGCAATTTCTGGACATGAAAATAAAATAGAGCCCCACTGGCTGTGTGTTTTACATTTTTCATATCTTTTTGTATCTATTGTATGGCCTAATCCTTCATCTTTCCAAATATGTGACAATTGCTCATGCTGTGATCCCAGAGACTTTATAGCAGGATGTTTTCGACAGGCCATTTTTTTGGCCTAAATTTCAGTGTATTGAATTCTGGACATGAAAGTAAAATAGCATCAATAGGCATCCTGTACTGCACCATTTTTGTTATTTTTTCTATTGGTGGACTGCAGTTGGCCTCTTCACACTTCCAGCCAACAGGTCCAAGACTATACAGCGTCTGAAGTGGAGTGCACATGGGGAAGCCAACGATTCGTCCATTACTTCTTATTTTACTCAAAATTCAAAATTATCATGCGACATAGTACCACAAAACTCGTTGAAATGCCTCACAAGAAAAGGCTATCAACAAGGCACCGACACGAGGAGAAACTACAACAGCCCAGCTGTCAACTACGGCAAGAAAAAACTTCATCAACCTGACTGACATGACTCTACACGCGACGAAAAATTATTTTACTCGAAAAAATGTCCAGAAATGTACAATGTCCAGAAATAGAAATTCACCTCGTACTTCTACTGTTTTCTCGCAGATATCTCTGAACAGCAGAATACTAAGCCGAATTGTGCAGGAAGTGTGTTATATCATTTGAGACTGGAATATTTTTGTCTAGTGATTGAACTTAGCAAGAAGCGTGTGCTCCTTGTTGGAGCAACCAACTTCATGACTAGTGATTGAAGTTTTAATTTCTCCGATTCCTTGCTGTTTTTTCTGCTGAGCTGAACACTGAGGAAGTTCGTGCTGCGTCTTGTTTAATTCCACTCCATTGGCTGAGTAGCTCAGTTACCGAGTAACGGAGTAACTGAGTACAGCCGATGTGAGAGGGTAGTGCTGCTAGTGCTAGTGTAGTATGCGTGTTGATCATGTTTTTGAAATCAAGGCATTGTTGAGTTTGTGCGTGAATGTTTGCGTGTCTGTGCATTCAATTCCCATATTTTTCTTTGTGCGTGCTTGTACAATCATGTACCTTGATATTATTATTGTGAATCCTCCACATGTGTGTTTTCCGCTTCCATTGTCCATAGTACACGTAGTACATGTAGCATCTGGAGTAGCCAGGATCCTGATTTTTGACTGAGCTACATGTTTAAAAGGTCTGCCGTGATCGGTGTGTGTGTGTGGAGGGGGGGGGGGGGGGGGGGTTCTCTAAGGCGGCACGGCACGACCATGTGAGATCGGATTATGACCAACCATGTGTGTTGTAGCCCGGTGATGTGGCTTGTTCATAGACCGATCCTAGCAATGGTCCTGACCAGGCTCTCTTGTTTCGCATCAACAATCACTATTCTACATGTGCATGTCATGTAGTGGACGGATGTCCAGGATATCACTGCTGCTCGATTCTGAATAATTTTTCTTTCTTTGATCTCGACACTTGACTGACTCACGACTGCCATCCAGAGCACACGAGAAGTCCATCGAACCTTCGACTCGGCAAACCTGCAAGAAAGCACCACTCCCTGCTCAATACACAGTGTTTCGGGGAATTCACCCCTCATCAGTTGAGCTTGAGTAGGCTGAGGAAGATTGTGCCTGAAGAGCACCACTTATATAGTGCTCTATAGTATAGTGTGCTCTGGATGGCAGTCGTGAGTCAGTCAAGTGTCAAGTAAAGTCGGCGGAATAGCGCGAGCTCCGGTGTGGGGAGAAAACCCTTTCTTAGAAATCATCGCCGAAGTCGCAACCACTACTTCGTACTGTTGTGCCCAGCGCGGGCTTGCGACTAGTTGGTTTGGAGGTGACAGCGTTGCGAATGACCGAGGGTCCTCAACGTCTGGTCTCACCGTCCAGGAGCGACACTGACTCACGCTGCTATCTGGTGTTTGTCGCGCTGGAAATGGAGCGTCTCTGTAAGCTTGTATCCCTGGTGATGTTTGTGCCTGGAGAGCACTATAAGTGGTGGACTTCTCGTGTGCTCTGGATGGCAGTCGTGAGTCAGTCAAGTGTCAAGTAAAGTCGGCGGAATAGCGCGAGCTCCGGTGTGGGGAGCAAACCCTTTCTTACAAATCATCGCCGAAGTCGCAACCACTGCTTCGTTCTTTGATCTCGTATTGAATAATAAGTGGATCTACGGGGGGGGGGGGGGGGTCTATCCGGATGAATGCATGTTTAGCGTAATGTCCGGAGTGCGCTTGTGAGTTGTGTTATCTGTTTGGGGTACTACTACTACTAGTAGTACTAGTGGTAGCGCCAACTCAGCAGTAAGATAAGATCATGCATGCACCGACTGATTGAGTGATATGTCCGCGCGCTACACTACCATGACTACAGACCGTGTCCAGGTATACCGGTAGTAGTACTAGTACTACTGTGTCCGTGAGGTTTGTCACGTGAGTGATGACGCGTGTGTTATCAAAAGCCTTTTTGCAAATGTTGGCCATTTGCGCTAAAAAAAACAAGGACCAAAAAACAAGAGCACCTCGATCTCGCCAGATCTACCAGCTAGCGCTAGCGTGTTGTTATGCTAAGGTCAGAAAGGACTTAGTGGCACTCGCTGGTTTATATCATCAGTTGAAGAATATTCCTTATCCTGGCGTCGATCGCTGAGAAGGTGCACTAGTATTGGCTACTGACGTGCATAATAGTTTGTTACATTCACAACAGTGTTGCTGTGGTAATCTGCGCAGTGCTGAACATCTCTGCTATTCACTGTGCAACTGTATCATACCGCTATCAAAACTTACTGGGGTAAGAGAATTATGTATGTACAAAAAAGAAGATGAATGTTGAAGAAACAATAGTTGACTGCCGGGCTGAGACCGCTGAATGCGTTCGAGTTTTCCGGATTTCAATGGGCTCTTTCCATTACACGTTTGCACAATTCTGGAACTGGGTTTTGTACTTCTCGAATGACCAGAATGTGCGAATTCCGGCCATGTAAACGAACAACCAGAATTCACAACGCATTTTATTCATGGCATATGATATCACAAACAAAATTGATCGTAAAAAGAGATCACGTACACCCTTGCGCGCACGTGGGCCCAGCTTCGCGTACCGGACTACCGGTACTGCGGTCCATCCCGGTGATCGTGAAGGCTCCATGTCGGCAACAATATTGGGCTTCGATAAAGCTGAACCTGTGTGCGAAAGGACCACCCAAAATGATCTGTTCTAACAATCAGCCCCAGCGAAAACTCAACTGCGGCAAATAGGTTTTCGGGAAGACATAAGACTGTAGCAACTACTGTAAAAGCCATTATTCTAACGAGGCGCATATATAACGATTTCCCAAAATCGACTGGTTTACGTGTACCAAAGGTAACGATTCTCACCTATTCCCAACGCTCAATAGGACAGTATATGTATCGATTTCTGTATAACGATTTCTATTTTAACGACAGATTTCTCCTCGTTAACTCGTTAGAGTTAGGACTTCGTTATATATATATATATAATTAATATACACACAACAACAAGGTTGTCAATTTCATAATACTAAAAGCTTTTCACCCATTTTCATCAGTAGTTACATGGGAATGAGCAAGAACGAAAACGAAGCCAGAATTTATACTGGGGGTAGAGAATCAGCAAGAATATTCTTACGCGCCTCAAGTTCACACTACACTACCATAAGAATGTATGGAGCAGTGGAAAAATGCGGGAAACAACACATGAGGGGAATGCAGTACCAGAACAAACACGTGATAAAGTTGTCAGTGATAAAGTCAGTGTCAGTGATAAAGTTGTCAGTCCGGTTGCAGCTTGAACAGCCGTAGCACCTTGATGTGCTTCTGCTCAACTTGAATCTGCAACGCGTATTATCACAAAATTGCCGTGGAAAGGGCAAAATTGCATTGCCTTCCGCAAAAAGATTAAAGCTGCAATTTTGAACTGCTATCCTACAGTATCCCCCATTGTAATTTATACAACCAGACCCGCATTCAGGTCTATCGCGAAGGATGTTTCACCAACTCTTGAAAACAGTAATTTTATTTATAAGTATGCGTGTCGCTGTGAGCGGACGTACGTTGGTGAGACATGTCAGCGATTCTCGGAAAGGATCAAGCAGCATATCCCAGACAAGCTGTACAAGAAGCCGCCTGACAAACGTGTGGCAACAAGTGATAGCGCCATCACAAAGCATTTGCAGGCGCAACCTGAATGCATCCCGCAGGAACGCAACAGCAGCTTCAGTGTGATCACACCAGCCCGGAACAGCGCGCACAGATTCACACTGGAGGCGCTGTACATTCGCAGTTTGAGGCCAGAGCTGTGTCGACAAAAGAAGCACATCAAGGTGCTACGGCTGTTCAAGCTGCAACCGGACTGACAACTTTATCACGTGTTTGTTCTGGTACTGCATTCCCCTCATGTGTTGTTTCCCGCATTTTTCCACTGCTCCATACATTCTTATGGTAGTGTAGTGTGAACTTGAGGCGCGTAAGAATATTCTTGCTGATTCTCTACCCCCAGTATAAATTCTGGCTTCGTTTTCGTTCTTGCTCATTCCCATGTAACTACTGATGAAAATGGGTGAAAAGCTTTTAGTATTATGAAATTGACAACCTTGTTGTTGTGTGTATATAAATTTTGTTCGCCTACATCTCTATTTAAATATATATATATATATATACACACAACAACAAGGTTGTCAATTTCATAATACTAAAAGCTTTTCACCCATTTTCATCAGTAGTTACATGGGAATGAGCAAGAACGAAAACGAAGCCAGAATTTATACTGGGGGTAGAGAATCAGCAAGAATATTCTTACGCGCCTCAAGTTCACACTACACTACCATAAGAACGTATGGAGCAGTGGAAAAATGCGGGAAACCACACATGAGGGGAATGCAGTACCAGAACAAACACGTGATAAAGTTGTCAGTCCGGTTGCAGCTTGAACAGCCGTAGCACCTTGATGTGCTTCTTTTGTCGACACAGCTCTGGCCTCAAACTGCGAATCTACCCCCAGTTTAAATTCTGGCTTCGTTTTCGTTCTTGCTCATTCCCATGTAACTACTGATGAAAATGGGTGAAAAGCTTTTAGTATTATGAAATTGACAACCTTGTTGTTGTGTGTATATAAATTTTGTTCGCCTACCTCTCTATTTAAATATATATATACCGTATATTCTCTATTATAAGCGCCGTGCTTATATTTTTTCAACACCCCTCTACCCCGTACTTATATTGGAGACCGCGCTTATATTGGAGACCGTGCTTATATTTTTTCAACCTATGCATCCATACAGAGCGAGAAGAAATACATGCTAGATATCATGCATGCAGCATTGATTTCCACCAAGACCGTGCTAATAATAGAGACTGTGCTTATAATGTTTCGAAAGGTGCTCACAGTGTGCTAGTATTGGAGACCGTGCTAGTAATGGAGACCTGTGCTTATAATAGAGAATATACGGTATATATATATATATGGCTTTTACAGTACATGCAGTTGTAGCCCTGCTTTCGCGCCACACCAACCAGGGAGGCTCTTCCTTGACCTGAGTCATGCGTGACCAGACCGGTAACACACCGAGCGTGCAATTCTGGCGCCAGGATTAGAGAAATTCCACCTTCTCTTCAGAATTGACGGAATTGGATAAATTCAATTCTAACGACGGAATTTGTGTAATCGAACTGTGCGTTAACAATAAACTAATTCTAGAATTGACTGATTTGTGTGTAATCGACCGAGCCCAATGTGGCAATGTCACTGTGTTGTGTATCGGATATGCATAATCTTACCACCCTATCCGACCTTTCGGCCGACGAAAAAATCGAGAGGTTTAACAACTCCTAAAACTACATGTAGTAGAGAACGAGTACGCCGGGGTACATGTTGGTGACTCGTTTACCCATCCTTAGTTAGGCCAAATAATAATTGGCAGGGAATTTCGATGTGGTTGACTGAAGTTTGTTTTCAAGTCAAACAACACGTGTACATGTAGTTATAAACTGATTGAAGTCACACAGTGATTTTTTTGCATTTTACTGAAAACGCCCAAAATCAGTTTTACGAATCATGTCCTTCGTGACTGATCTGGTTGAGGCAGTAAGTGTTGGACACTGAAATCTGGTCAATGTAAGTCAGCTAGTACTGGACACTGTGCAGCTGTAGACCGTCCAACATTGGGTTGTGCAC